TATATATATATATGAATATATATAAATATATATATATGAAGCATGTAGAAGCAATAACAGCAGCAGCTGCTGCACAAACAAAGGGCAGCAAAACCCTTAATCTGCAGCAATGCAAGGCCTACTGAGAGACCAGACGCAGGATTAGGGTTTAGGGTTTAGGGTTTAGAGAGAGGAGGGGCCCCTAGGGTCTAGGGTTTAGGGTTTAGGGTTTTAGGGTTTAGGGTTTCTTTTGAACCTCTAGGAAGGCCAGGGGCCTCTAAACTGTCTCAACCTCTCCCCTAACTAACTTCTTAGGGTTTAGGGTTTAGGGTTTAGGGTTTAGGGTTTAGGGTTTAGGGTCCCTATGAAGGCGAACTGATATGGCTTGGGGGCCCCCTGCGATGCCCTCAAGCTGCATTTAAATGAGTTAATGCAAGCAAATACCAAAGACATCAAAAAGATAAACAAAGAAGATTAAAAAGAAAGAGAAAATAAGGAGAGAAAATAAAGAGACAGGCAAACAAATAAAAATAAAAACAAACAAACAAAGACAGACAAACAGAGGGCCCTAAAAAGCTGATAAAACATCACCCTATCAACGGTGGTTTAGGGTTTAGGGTTTAGGGTTTAGATGGGAGAGCATCTGCAGCGGCAGCTGCACTCACCCCCTCGGGGCCGCATGCAGCATCAAATAAAAAATAATATAAATATGTCTATCTATAGAAGTGAAGACGAGTAAGCCTCTACAAGTAGGCCCAACAGGGGTTTAGGGTTTAGGGTTTATAATCAAAGAGTCTCAGCAATAAACAGAAGCCTCTCCCTCAGTCTCTGTTTTTGTTTTACGTTTATAAAACAACAAATAAATAATTTTAATGTCTCTCTTCTAAGGGCCCCCTTAGACGAGATAAATCTAAAGGAGAGACGGGGGGCCCCCCAGCACTAGAGACAGAGCCTCCATCACTATGGGGGCCCCCCTCTCCCTCTGCATTTCTTTTGCTTCTCTGCTCTTCTAAACTGCTCGTCCTTCTTATCAAGTGGGCCCCCCCAGGGGCCCCCATGCCTGCTGCATGCATGCGAGGAGCTGAGGGCGGCCCCTGGGGGCCCGCCTCTCTAACAGAGGCCCCACTGTCTCCGCTGCGGTGAGACCCCTGAACCCCTCCCCCTTCAACAGACCCCAAGAAAGCAGAAGAAGATGCCTGCCTAGAGAGCAATAGAGAGGGGGGCCCCCCTTGGGGGCCCCCATGGGGCCCCCCAGCGGGGGCCCCCTGATGCTGTGGGGCCCCCGGGGGCCCCGCACCCCGCTGAGAAGTCGCAGGGGAGACCAACTGGGGAGACGGGATCGTTCTCGATCCCAGCCTCTGAACTCTACTTAACAGTTGCTCTGCGGGGCCCCCAACAGGTAAGCCATAGTCAGAGGGGGGCCCCCTGGGGGCCCCTGTTGTGTCTTTGCTAGGAAGACGTGAGGGGGGCCCCCATGCTTGCTTTGTATTGTTGGTGCGGCTATACTCTTTTGCTGAATCTCTGCTGCTTGCTGAGGAAGGGGCCCCCTCATGTTGCTGCTTCCTATTACCCTGCGAACCCTGGGGGCCCCCCTCCAACTGGGGGGCCCCCCTCTTCTCCTTTGATACAGCAGGGGGGCCCCCCTCAATCTCAGAGTGCATGTGGGGCCCCTCGTCGCTGCGAGAATGACGAACTCCGGGGGCCCCTAGGGGGCCCCCATGGGGGCCCCTATGGGGGCCCCCCCTCCACTTTAAACTCTCCTCAGACCAGCTCGAAGGCAGTGAAGGGGGGGCCCTCCAACGCCTAGGGGGCCCCTCATCTCTAGGGCCCCCTGAACCCCTTCTACCCTCAGGGGGCCCCTCGTATGCAGCAGCTGAAGTGCGAATCGAATGAGAGCGTGGGGCCCCCTCTCTTGATGGTTTGGCTGTGTCTCTGTCCTCTCTAACTTTTCTCGTTTGCCCTCTATACCTGTCGCGCTCTCCTTCTCTGTCTTCGTATATACCCCCATATCTGTCTCTGTCTCTGTCTCTGTTGAAGTGTATATCTCTGTCTCTGTCTCTGTCTATATATCTGTCTCTATCAATATAACTCTCTCCCTCCCTGTCTCTGTCTCTGTCTCTGTCTATAATATATCTGTCTCTGCCTCTATCTCTATCGAAATACATATCTCTGTCTCTATCTATATATCTATCTATATATCTGTCTCTATCTATATATCTATCTCTGTCTCTATATCTGTCTCTATCTATATATCTGTCTCTATCAACTTCATAAGCTGAAGGCCTCCATTCATATCCATTTCTTTCTTTAATAGGGGGCCCCTCTGCTTCTACCGTCTCTTCATACACCTCATCCTTAGGGCCCCTCTTGGGGCCCCCCGCCCTTGGGGCCCCCTTGGGGGGCCCCCTGGGGGCCCCCTTGGGGGCCCCCTCCTTGGGGGCCCCCCCTTTAGGGGCCCCCTTAGGGGGCCCCTTGCTGTCTTCTTTTGCTCCTGAAAGCCACCCTGAAAGAATACGAGTCCATACGGGGGCCCCCTTATCTTCAGTTGCTGCATCATCATCATCAGGCGGGGGCCCCTTGGGGGCCCCCCCCTCTCTCTCGTCTATCTTTTGCTGCTGCTGTGCAGAAGTACGAAGGGGTTTAGATATAGTCTTGCTACAAATTGCGCGAGACCTGCAGAAACACCCAGGTGTACGTACACCCCAAAAACAAATTTAAAAAAATTTTTTAGTTTAAAAAATCAAACAACAAATTCAAATACAAACCCAAAACACTTTGTAGCAACTTCTGCTCTTTATTTATATACAAATATATATTTATTATATTTATATAATATATATAATATATATAATATATATAATATATATATGTAATATATATGTACATAGGCGCCGTGGGCGCACAGCCGGCAATGCAACAGAAGATGCTCTAGGGTTTAGGGTTTAGTGTTTAGGGTTTAGGGTTTGGAGCGTACACTGGCTGCACTGGCGCCCCGCTGTATTTCTGATGGAGAGTACGGGGGGTGAGTTGAGGCGGCTCGAGAGGATCGGCGAGACCTGCAGCGAATGCAAACCCTAAACCCTAAACCCTAAACCCTAAACCCTAAACCCTAAACCCTAAACCCTATGCCTAAGGCCAGCGCGACAAGTGAATTGTTGTGAAACGTCTTGAGTATCCCATACAATGTGCACGTGTACACTCCACCAAAGAGCCTAGGGTTTAGGGTTTAGGGTTTAGGGTTTAGGGCTTAGGGTTTATTTAGGGTTTAGGGTTTATACCGTCTTGGACCCAATCTCCATAGCGGCAAACAGCCCTCAGTCTTTTTGCTTCTTCTGCTGAGATATCTCTTTGAAAATGCAATTCATCTAACTCCATTTGTAGCAAACTAAACAAAAACAAACAAAATAAATACTAATGAAGTATATATAAAGCGGTGCATGCAGCACAAACAAAGACAAAGAAATATACATTAAAATAATATATATATACATATAATATTCATATAAATAATATATTATTTTATAATACATGCATACAACAAACGACAAAAACAAAATTAAAAAATAAACAGAGTTAATAACATAAAGGAAACCCACAGACAAATATAATAAATAAAACAAATTAAAACACATTAAATAAATAAAAAATGTTAGAACAAATTAAATAAATAAAAACAAAACAAATTAAATAAAACAGACGAAGGAAGAAAAATTTTAGGGGGATAGGAAAATACCTCACGAACGACACAAAATAAATAAATAAATATGACAAATAAATAAATAAATAAATAAATAGATAAATTAATTAATTAATTAAATATAATAGACAAAGGGAGAAGACAATAAATAATAAATAAACAAATGCGCATGATATGAAAGTAAACGAATAAATATAGAGTATATCAGCACCGAGACAAACAACCCATCTAAACCCTAAACCCTAAACCCTAAACCCTAAACCCTAAACCCTCACTAGATGATTTTCCTGAGGTCCTTCACCTGCCCCATTAACTTCGACTCAGCAAACCCTGCAGATAAAAATAGAACCAAGGCGATGCTATATTAAAAATATAAATATAAATATAAATATAAATAATAATATATAGAAATATAAATATAAATATATAAATATATAGGCATAAATATATTATATATATGAATATATGTATAAATCCAGGTGTATGTACACCGCAGTTATATGTTTAAATGTTCATACGTGCAAACTTTTCTTCAATTCAGATATTCATGCATTTCTAAACATCTCTTTATTTAATTTATTATTACAATTATATTACAATATATAATAGACATAACACACTATTCTATATATGCATACATATAAATATGCATGCATACATATATATATATATTATATATATACATATACATAAATATAGATATATATACATATATATGCATATATTATATATTGTATATATATAAATGAATATACAAAATAAAAAGAGCATTCCTTTGGTCTTTCTCTCTGCGTACACCCCGCGGTGTACGTACATCATTGTCTGCATATACACCCCAATATGCGGTACACTCGAATAGATGTATATGTACACCTCAATAAGATGAAGATACAGTTAAAGAAGATGTATATACACCCCGAGGTGTACACATACCCACGTAAGATGTATGTACACCCCAATAAGATGTATATACACCCGAATAAGATACGAAGCAGATACACCCGAATAAGATGCGTATACACCTGAATACGAACTACTGTATATACACTGCAAGGCATCAAGACACCCGAATACGATGCATTTACACCTGAATAAGATGCATATACACCCGAATAAGATACATATACACCTGAATAAGATGCATATACACCCGAATAAGAGGTATATACACCTGAAAAAGATGCATATACACCTGAATAAGGTGCATATACACCTGAATAAGGTGCATATACACCTGAATAAGAATTACTGTATATACACTGCAAAGCATGAAGATACGCCTTCTCACCCTGCGCTTCTAAGACCATCGCATCGTAGCCCAGCGACAAATCATCCAACTGTCTTTGCAGAGTCTTTTCAGTTTTCTTCAAACAAACAAACAAACAGCAGCAAACAACAATTAAATATAAACCTTAAAACCACTTCTAAACAAAACGCATAGAAAGATATTCATAAATCAGCCCGTACACCTACGCTGCATGCTCCTCAGGCTGCTAAATATCCTGTTCTACTGTTTTAGGCTTAGCTAGGGTTTAGGGTTTAGGGTTTAGGGTTTAGGGTTTTAAGCTATGTGGAATGCTCGACTCCTTCAAGTGCAGTACTGCAACTATTGTATTTTAGGGTTTAGGGTTTAGGGTTTATTCCCTTTCGCCTTTTACGAGGATGGTGATTCGTCGTTTAAAGTTAAGGGTTTAGGGTTTAGGGTTTAGCGTTGAGTGTATCCGGTGTATCTGTTCGGCGATCATGAACGCTGTGCTGCATTATCTGCCTTCCTTTAGGGTTTAGGGTTTAGGGGTTGAGGGGTTTAGGGGTTTAGGGGTTTAGGGTTTTAGGGTTTTAGGGTTTTAGGGTTTAGGATATCTCTGCGGGCTTTAGCTGTCGTTTTTTTAAAGGATTTAGGGTTTTTAGGGTTTCTAGGGTTTAGGGTTTAGGGTTTAGGGTTTAGGGTTTTGTTTGCTTACTTGGATCCTTTTGCAGTCTTCTTCGAACTCTAGAAGCCTAAGATCAATGCCTCTCTTTAATAGCAGCAAATCTTCATTCAGCGGCAGCAAGGGCCTCCCGTCGCTGTCTAAATAAGGCGCCAATAGACGCGCGAGCTGACCCTGGTCCTCCTGCATATACAAACCCTAAACCCTAAACCCTAAACCCTAAACCCTAAACCCTAAACCCTAAAGCCAAAGCCATCAACGCTAAATCCTCAATATTCAAACTCCAGGCACAAGAAATAACCTACAAACAATAAGACAAACAGAAATCTTAAAGAAGAGAACTCTAGGGTTTAGGGTTTAGGGTTTAGGGTTTACGAGGAGCGTCGTGTGCGCCGCGTTGAGCTCAACGAGTTGCTGCTGGTACTGCGAGCAGCAGAAGACAAACAATAAAAAGGGAGGCAAATTAAAAACACACTTTGAATAAATAAATAAAATAACAAACAAAGAAGAAAACAAACAAATAAATAAACAAATATAACAATCAAAACAAACAAGTGCTACGAGCATGCAAAGCAAAACAAACAAAAAGAGAAAAAAACAAAATAAATACTACAGCCTCTCCCTCCAAACCCTAAACCCTAAACCCTAAACCCTAAACCCTCCCTTTTAAATATCTTCTCTTTCTGCTGCTTCTTCTCACCAAGTCCATTAATGCAGACACCCGAACATTAATTGCCTCCAACTGAGGCGTAGGGGGGGCCCCCTGAGGGTACCCTGTTACTGATGGGGGCCCCCAGGGCAAGGGGGCCCCCTGGGGGCCCCCAAGGGGACCCCCTGGGGGCCCCCAAGGGGGCCCCCATTGTGGAGATACCCCCATAGAGGGAGCAGCAGCACCTATTGCTGTTGCTGCTGCAGGGACTGCTGCTGCTGTTGCTGCTGTTGCTTCTGTAGGGGCTGCTGCTGCTGCTGCTGGTGCTGCTGCTGCTGCAGGAACTGCTGCTGCTGCAGCAGGAGAGGCAGCAGAGGGAAGCCATGATGCTCCTGAAAGAGAAGGATGGAGAAAGGGCGCAGGGGCTGCTGCTGCTGCTCCTGCTGCCGCAGCAGCTGCTGCTGCTTCTTGCGCCGAAAGAGACCCCCCAACATTCATAGGGCTACACTTGGACCTTAGGGTTTAGGGTTTAGGGTTTAGGGTTTTGGGGTTGTATTGGGATTGACCTCAATGCAGTTCTTTGTCTGCGGAAAAGGGGGCAGAAAAGGCTGCTGCCTTCCTGTGGTGTACATACATCCGAGAGCGAGCGGTGGAACTGCTGCTGCTGCTGCTGCTGCAGCTGCTGCTGCTGCTGCGGCTGCTGCTGCGGCGTCTCGCGGTGTATGAGGAGAGATAAGGGGGAGTAAAAGAAGCAAATAAATAAAAAGACAAAATGAAAGTAAAGAGCAAAGACCTACAAGAGCTGAGGCAAGGCGCAGCCGTGCTTCGGCAGTCTCGATGCGAACACTGCTGCTGCTGCTGCTGCTGCTGCTGCTGCTGCTGTCGTGACTGCAGCAGCAAGCGAAGCTTCCTTTCCTGCTGTGCAATTTGATCTTTTAAACTACCTAAATTAAATATTTAATTAATTATATCAATATTTATTTTAATAATTGTAATATTAATTTGATTTTATTACAAAAAAACAAAAGAAGGACGGCGCAAACACCCCTGTCGGCAGCGGTCAGCCGCCGTCCCACTGCAACCTGCTGCTGCTGCTGCTGCTGCTGCTGCTGCTGCTGCTGCTGCTGCTGCTGCTGGGTAGGCGCAGAGTAAGAATATATTTCTTTTTCTCAGCACCAACCACTCCACAGCAGCAAACACCAAGCCAGCAGCAGCAGCAGCAGCGGCTGCTCCTGCAGCAAAATGCTGCTTCTGCAGCAGCTGCAGCAGTATCTGTTGCACTGGAAGCTGCAGCAGCAGCAGCAGCAGCATATGCATTCTGTGTTATCTACTTCACTCTCAATCCTATTGAATTAAAATAAGCTGCATAGGGGCCCTGTCTATACACCAGAAGACAGTCAACAGAAAAACACAACACGGGCGCCCCCCTATACACGCACAATGCGCCACCAACACCCCTGGGGGGCCCCTGCTGCTGGGGGCCCCTGAGGGCCCCTTCCTGTTGAGGGCCCCTGGGGGTCCTTTGCTTCTGGGTGCCCCTGGGGCCCCCTTGCTGCTGGGTGCCCCTGGGGCCCCCTTGCTGCTGGGGGCCCCTGGGGGCCCCTTGCTGCTGAGACCCCGTGGGGGGCCCCATGGGCTGGGGGTCCCCGAGGGGCCCCTGGGGGCCTTTGGGGGGCCCCTGGGGCCCCCCAGGGGCCCCCAGCATGTAGAGACGTTGAGCTGCCTGGAACACCTGAGAGGAGACAGAAGCAAAAGAGAGAGCAGCAAGAAGAAGATAGTTGGGGTGTATACAGAGACAAACAAACGAGACGAAGTATATATAAAATAAACAGACAGGGTAAATAACATAAAATATACTAGAGAGAGAGAGAGAGAGAGAGAGAGAGAGAGAGAGAGCGAAGGGACAAAGAGGAGAGACGAAAAAAACCCTAAACCCTAAACCCTAAACCCTAAAAAAACAAAGACAGACACAAGCCAAGCAAAAAAAAGAAGACAGACAAATGCAGATACAGAGACAGAGACAGAGACAGACAGACAGCAAGACATATATATATATATATATATATATATAT